TTATTAAGCTTTTATTATTTCAAGCTTGACTTATTTTCACCAAATTTCGTCTCGTTTTCTTTTTTTTTCTTCTTTTCGTGAGAGGGAGACTATTTTATTTATCAAAATTCGTGTATTTTAGCATTATCTAATCTTTATTTTGTTCTTCCTCTACTGTTCATCCTCCTCCTCTCGTCTTCTTCGTGTTTCTTATTCCTTTTCCTTTACTCTCTTCCCTTTCTTCCTTTCCCTTCCACCTCCGATGTATCACATTTCGCCTGCTCCTCCCTTTTCTCCTTTTTCCTCCTCCACCTTCTTCTTCTTTTTCTTCTTCTTCTTCATCTTCTTCTTCTTTTTCTTCTTCTTCTTCTTCTTCTTCTTCTTCCACCTCCTCTTCTTCTTCTTCTTCCACCTCCTCTTCTTCTTCTTCTTCCACCTCCTCTTCTTCTTCTTCTTCTTCTTCTTCTTCTTCTTCTTCTTCTTCTTCTTCTTCTTCTTCTTCTTCTTCTTCCTCCTCCTCCTCCTCCTCCTCCTCCTCCTCCTCCTCCTTCCTTCCTTCCTTCCTTCCTCCTTTCCTTCCTTCCTTCCTTCCTTCCTCCTTTCCTTCCTTTTTCCTTTCTTCCTCTCTTCCTTACTTCCCTTCTTCCTTTCTTGCTTCCTTCAGCCTCTGGCCAAGAGACCTGCGACTTCGCGTGTCCTGACCACATCGACCTCGTGTGCGGATCCGATGGCGTGACTTATCCGAATCTCTGCGTTCTGGAATTGGCTGACTGTTTGAGCGACGAAGACATTACCTTGGTAAGCGTTTGAGACACTTTGGGTAATGGTTGAGTCCTGTTTAATCAATGAAAAATTAGTGTGAAAGCGTTTGAGACATTTAGAGTTTTGCGACGTCGCGTATCCTTACCACATTGATCTCGAGAGCGGATTCAGTGGAGTGACATATCCGAATCCTTGCGTTCTGGAAATGGCTGATTGTTCGAGCGATTAAGACCTTTATTTTTTCATGAACATTTTATTCGTCAACATTTTTTTTTCTTTTACTTTTATTCGTTAAACATCTAGTATTTTAGATTTTTAACTCTAGCTAATATTGAAGATTTTTATTGACATTTTGGTAAATACTTTCGAGGTTTAATATGTTCAGTATTCTAGATGTTTATGGACATAATATAATTAAATCATAACTTATTAACCTCTTTAGTAAATGTTTCTGAGATTTATTAAGGTTTTCGTAAATATTTTCGCTATGCATTGGCATTTTGGTTAGTAAACGATAACTTATTAATATCCACATATATATTTTTACTTGTGTATAATCCTTCCTTCATGTGACGCCATTTATATATACACAAATTCACATCAAACATATACATTACATACTATCTCACACTACACAACCACGTGACGTCATTTACATATGCACCCATTCACATTAGACATACATCATACATACACATTATATATTATCTCTCACTGACCCCCCCCCCCCCCTGTTTTTTTCCAGGCACATCCGGGACCGTGCGAGACCAAACAAGAATCATGTGACATGCTGTGTTACACTAACTACGACCCCGTTTGTGGCTCCGACGGCGTCACGTATTCCAACCTGTGTAATCTGGAGGTGGCCGATTGTCTCAGTGATGGGGATATTACGCTGGTAAGTCTTGGGGAAAGTTTTAGGTCGAAGAAGCGGGAGATTTTTTTGGGGGAAAAAAACGATTTCCGCAAGACTTTTGGAAAATGAGATTCGATATTGGTGTGTATAGGGCACGTTGGATTCTTTTTTATTTGCTTGTTGATTAGTAACGGGTATTTTTTACTATATGTAGCGATGGCATAACAAGTTCTATTGATGGTAAGTCTTAGCAACGATAAATTCAAGATGTATTTTTTTAACGGTGAGTCTTAGCATAGTTTACTTTAAGAAATATAAAAAAGGTATGAAAGAGAATGGAAATTTTCATAACGCATGATAATAACATGAGATGTTTATTTTACTTTCTTTATCGAGTAATTCTGGCGAAATTCTAATATCACAACGTCAGTGACATGTGTGACATTTGACAGAATCTCTACTTGTAAATATTATAGACAGGTAAATGAATTAGGAAGACTTTAATGGTTGAAGAGCAAAGAAATGTATCACTACTTCAGGTAAAATTATAGAATAATATACCTGGCAGGACCTCTAGCTTTGCACTATATTCCCTATAAGAATTCTGCGTTATATCGACACCCAGGCATACCCCGGAGAGTGCATAGTGACCCCGGGAGACTGTAACCTTGGATGCCCCGGGAACTATGACCCAGTGTGCGGGTCAGACGGGGTCACGTATCCCAACATGTGTGTCTTAGAGGCAGTTGACTGTCTCAGTGATGAAGATATTACGTTGGTGAGTCTTCAGAGCTTTTTTTGCAACGTTAGAGATTGCAATATACGATCAAGCATTGCGCTAGTAAGTCTTGCAATGATGAATACTCAGTATTAAGTACCAGGGGCTTTCAAATTATACAATGGCGTAACGGAAAGTCTTCCTAACAACGGTAAGATTAGATAGTGCCTAGTAACAGGAAATCGGTGTCTTGGGAAATCAAATGACAGGTATTGAAAAACGAGGAAAATTAGAAAGATTGCGGGGTTTTAAGTACAACACGAGAGGTTTGTAGTCTATAAAACTGCTTTGATTTAAAATAACATATTTTCTTTTGCAATGTAATGAATGCATTTAGATACAATGCGTTATTACAAACTTTGTCCTTGCGATAATCTGACGAACGTGGACATTCCGCCCAACGTTGCAAAACGATATGCACTCATACTATTTACATTTACTTATTCATTCATTTCTTCATCTATTTGCTTATTTATTCATTCATTTACTTATCCTAGGCCTACGAAGGAGAGTGCAAAGGCAGAGTGACGGAGCCCTGTGGTTACGGATGCCCTGAGGACTACGACCCCGTGTGCGGCTCCGACGGCGTCACGTACTCCAACCTGTGCGAACTGGAGCGAGAGAACTGCAAGACGGACGAGGAAATCACTGTGGTACGTGGGGGGGGGGGTGTCTCTTGTGGTGGTGGTGAGGATGACAATGGAAATGATAGTAATGTATACTGTGTATACATGCATGCATACATACGTACATATATATACACATATGTATGTATACCTATGTTTATATATGTATATATATATATATATATATATATATATATATATATGTATGTATATATATAAATATGTTCATTCTTGCACTGTACACCGTGTAGGTCCTTCAAGGAAAACCCTGGTTCTGGTTGCAGGCTAATCTACTGAGGGATGTACTGGGAGTGCAAGGGTCTACATATTTTCCAAGTGCATGTGATCATGTTTACATATGAATGGAATCAAGAAGGCATGGGTAAATAATAGGGAACTGAAGGTATCAATTAAAAATATAAACGTAAATACTTTAATATATGTAGTTGATTAAAAACACATTACATGTAATATAGTGATACACACACACATGGTCTGTTCACATATCCACAATATATCGCGCGCGCGTGTATGATACATATGCATGATACAGTATATATATAATATATATAATGCACATATATACATATGTTGCAAGTGATGTTGTATAAATGTTCAGCTTTCTATCGACGTTTGTGTAATCTATGCGCAATGTTGCAAGCTTAAACCTTTAGCATGGCCAACCTACGTAACTTCAAATTCACTATGATTAAAGAAAAAAAATACGCACTCAGACTAAAAGAAAAACACCTTTTTAGATTTCACTTATTCATTCATTTACTGGACGATTTATTTACTTATCCATTTGTTTCCTTATTTTGCTTATTCCCTTATTTAGGCCTACGGAGGTGCGTGCAGAGAGCCCTTGAAAGGAGACTGTGACTTCCCTTGCCCTGACAACTACGACCCCGTCTGCGGCTCCGACGGCGTCACGTACTCCAACCTGTGCGAGCTGGAGCGAGCGAACTGCCAGAGTGACGAGGAAATCACTGTGGTACGTGGGGGGGGGGGTCTCTTGTGGTGGTGGTGGGGATGGCTATGGCAATGGTGGTCATGTATAGTGTACTTACATACATGCACACATAGGGGGTATTCTGTGCGCGCCATGGAAGTTAATCTAGTATTAAAGTTTAAAGGCGTCTTCTGTCCGTGTCATGAAAGTTAATCCATTTTTAAAGTTTAAGCCAAATCTCTAATGCACAGGCGTATTGGCTGCGTTCAGGATTAAATTCAATTCCCCTCCGGACCAGGCTTTACCTTTGAGCCCAACGATTAATCCTGCACATGCGCAGAGCGAGCTAGTTAATCCCACCAATCATGTATCGATACGTCATGACGTCATCAATTCCATAGAAAAGAGGTACTGAGTTGCCATTAATATTTATAATAAGCAATAACGAAACAAATTCTGACATTTTCATGTCAAAGATGTTTGTGAAAATTCATCAATGTATATTTTTATAAGTTGTAGGTTATTCAAATTCCAGACCACAGAGAATTCCAGAGTTTACAGATGCAGAAAAGGCAATGTTATTTCCAGGTTAGAAAAAAAAATTCCAAACTTATGCAATATATTAATCGATTAAAAGAAAAAAAATAATATCACAATTAAATTTCTAATTCAAAGTAAAAACTTCCTGAATCTTTAAACTAAAGTGACATAAAAACCGCATGGAAATTCGTAACGTGATCCTCGTTAAGAACACTGAAAAAACTACCCTCACGTGCCTCGCGATCACACGAGAAAGAGCTCTCGGAGAAGACTCCCACGAATATAAATTGATAATACGAGTATCTCGTTTTTGTTCGACGCCTTCATTTCAGTTGTCTATAAAATTTATAGGCTATTTGAAGCCATTTATATATTTGTACTGACACAGATATATATCGGCATATTAGCTTATATGTGTATATATTTTTTCCTGTGTAACAAACGTTTTCTTATCAACATTAACGTATAACATGAAACTTGTAGAGGATGAATGCTATTTGCCATTACACAAATGGCAGATTTATTGATAATCGCACTGACTCGAGCGCCTGGCAGTGTGTGTTGCATCTTCTGTGCAAGTGCTGTGGATTTGGATTAACTTTAATCCCGAATTAACTTTATGACGCGTACAGAAGACGCCTATACATACATATATGCACACATGTATGTACGTCTATGCATGTATATGTATATATAGATATATATTCACATATATATATATATATTCACATATATATAGGTATATATTTGTACATATATATATGTGTGTATAATATATATATATATAAATATATATATATATTCATATATGTGTTAATATATATAAATACATATGTACATGTACATATTTACATTTGTATTTACTTATATATACACATACATATACATATGTATACACATATAATCATGTATATACTGTATATAAGTATGCGTGGGTATGCGTATTTGCGTGTGTGTGCATACACATACACACATATACATACATACGTATATGTATGTACAGTCGCTAAAAAGCATCTTTACTCCTTTCGACAACATCATACGACGACGAAAACGGTTGCAAAAAGTGCTGTGAGCTCGACCTGGTATTGGTATCTCTGACAAGGCCGTTATTTGGGGTAGTGTGGGGCGGGGGGCAGATGCCCCTTCCCAAGGGGAGGTGCAACACCTATATAGATCCGGTCCTAGCTTAACATACCCCTCGAATAAAAAAAATCTAAATCTGTCTTCACTTCGCTCAGCTACATTTTTAAAAGTTAGGGTTTTGAAATGTATATGTAATGAATGCATTTAGATACAATGCGTTATTACAAACTTTGTCCTTGCGATAATCTGACGAGCGTGGACATTCCATCCAACGTTGCAAAAACATATGCACGCATACAATTTTTTCATTTACTTATTCATTCATTTATTCATCTACTTACTCATTCATTCATCTATCTATTTATCCTAGGCCTACGAAGGAGAGTGCAAAGGCAGAGTGACGGAGTCCTGTGATTACGGATGCCCTGACAACTACGACCCCGTGTGCGGCTCCAACGGTGTCACCTACTCCAACCTGTGCGAACTGGAGCGAGCGAACTGCCAGAGTGACGAGGAAATCACTGTGGTACGTGGGGGGGGGGCGGTGTCTCTTGTGGTGGTGATGGGGCTGACTAGGGCAATGGTGGTTATGTATACTGTACTTACATACATGCACACATAGGGGGTATTCTGTACGCGCCATGGAAGTTAATCTAGTATTAAAGTTTAAGGTTGTCTTCTGTACGTGTCATGAAAGTTAATCCATTTTTAAAGTTTAAGCCAGATCTCTACTGCGCATGCGTATTGACTGCGTCCAGGATTAAATTCAATTCTCCTCCTGACCAGGCTTTACCTTTGAGCCCAACGATTAATCCTGCACATGCGCAGAGCGAGCTAGTTAATCCCACCAATCATGTATCGATACGTCATGACGTCATCAATTCCATAGAAAAGAGGTACTGAGTTGCCATTAATATTTATAATAAGCAATAACGAAACAAATTCTGACATTTTCATGTCAAAGATGTTTGTGAAAATTCATCAATGTATATTTTTATAAGTTGTAGGTTATTCAAATTCCAGACCACAGAGAATTCCAGAGTTTACAGATGCAGAAAAGGCAATGTTATTTCCAGGTTAGAAAAAAAAATATTCCAAACTTATGCAATATATTAATCGATAAAAAAAAATAATAATAATATCACAATTAAATTTCAAATTCAAAGTAAAAACTTCCTGAATCTTTAAACTAAAGTGACATCAAAACCGCATGGAAATTCGTAACGTGATCCTCGTTAAGAACACTGAAAAAACTACCCTCACGTGCCTCGCGATCACACACGAGAAAGAGCTCTCGGAGAAGACTCCCACGAATATAAATTGATAATACGAGTATCTCGTTTTTGTTCGACGCCTTCATTTCAGTTGTCTATAAAATTTATAGGCTATTTGAAGCCATTTATATATTTGTACTGACACAGATATATATCGGCATATTAGCTTATATGTGTATATATTTTTCCCTGTGTAACAAACGTTTTCTTATCAACATTAACGTATAACATGAAACTTGTAGAGGACGAATGCTATTTGCCATTACACAAATGGCAGATTTATTGATAATCGCACTGACTCGAGCGCCTGGCAGTGTGTGTTGCATCTTCTGTGCAAGTGCTGTGGATTTGGATTAACTTTAATCCCGAATTAACTTTATGACGCGTACAGAAGACGCCTATACATACATATATGCACACATGTATGTACGTCTATGCATGTATATGTATATATAGATATATATTCACATATATATATATATATATATTCACATATATATATATATATATTCACATATATATATATATATATTCACATATATATATATATATTCACATATATATATATATAAATATATATATATATATATATTCACATATATATAGGTATATATTTGTACTGACACAGATATATATCGGCATATTAGCTTATATGTGTATATATTTTTCCCTGTGTAACAAACGTTTTCTTATCAACATTAACGTATAACATGAAACTTGTAGAGGATGAATGCTATTTGCCATTACACAAATGGCAGATTTATTGATAATCGCACTGACTCGAGCGCCTGGCAGTGTGTGTTGCATCTTCTGTGCAAGTGCTGTGGATTTGGATTAACTTTAATCCCGAATTAACTTTATGACGCGTACAGAAGACGCCTATACATACATATATGCACACATGTATGTACGTCTATGCATGTATATGTATATATATATATATATTCACATATATATATATATATATTCACATATATATAGGTATATATTTGTACATATATATATGTGTGTATAATATATATATATATAAATATATATATATATTCATATATGTGTTAATATATATAAATACATATGTACATGTACATATTTACATTTGTATTTACTTATATATACACATACATATACATATGTATACACATATAATCATGTATATACTGTATATAAGTATGCGTGGGTATGCGTATTTGCGTGTGTGTGCATACACATACACACATATACATACATACGTATATGTATGTACAGTCGCTAAAAAGCATCTTTACTCCTTTCGACAACATCATACGACGACGAAAACGGTTGCAAAAAGTGCTGTGAGCTCGACCTGGTATTGGTATCTCTGACAAGGCCGTTATTTGGGGTAGTGTGGGGCGGGGGGCAGATGCCCCTTCCCAAGGGGAGGTGCAACACCTATATAGATCCGGTCCTAGCTTAACATACCCCTCGAATAAAAAAAATCTAAATCTGTCTTCACTTCGCTCAGCTACATTTTTAAAAGTTAGGGTTTTGAAATGTATATGTAATGAATGCATTTAGATACAATGCGTTATTACAAACTTTGTCCTTGCGATAATCTGACGAGCGTGGACATTCCATCCAACGTTGCAAAAACATATGCACGCATACAATTTTTTCATTTACTTATTCATTCATTTATTCATCTACTTACTCATTCATTCATCTATCTATTTATCCTAGGCCTACGAAGGAGAGTGCAAAGGCAGAGTGACGGAATCCTGTGATTACGGATGCCCTGACAACTACGACCCCGTATGCGGCTCCAACGGCGTCACTTACTCCAACCTGTGCGAACTGGAGCGAGCGAACTGCCAGAGTGACGAGGAAATCACTGTGGTACGTGGGGGGGGGGGGGGGCCGGTGTCTCTTGTGGTGGTGATGGGGCTGACTAGGGCAATGGTGGTTATGTATACTATACTTACATACATGCACACATAGGGGGTATTCTGTACGCGCCATGGAAGTTAATCTAGTATTAAAGTTTAAGGTTGTCTTCTGTACGTGTCATGAAAGTTAATCCATTTTTAAAGTTTAAGCTAGATCTCTACTGTGCATGCGTATTGGCAGCATCCAGGATTAAATTTAATTCTCCTCCTGACCAGGCTTTACCTTTGAGCCCAACAATTAATCCTGCACATGCGCAGAGCGAGCTAGTTAATCCCACCAATCATGTATCGATATGTCATGACAACGTCATCAATTCCATAGAAAAGATGTAGTGGGTTGCCATTAATATTTATAATAAGCAATAACGAAACAAATTCTGACATTTTCATGTCAAAGATGTTTGTGAAAATTCATCAATGTATATTTTTATAAGTTGTAGGTTATTCAAATTCCAGATCACAGAGAATTCCAGAGTTTACAGATGCAGAAAAGGCAATGTTATTTCCAGGTTAGAAAAAAAAAAATTCCAAACTTATGCAATATATTAATCGATTAAAAGAAAAAAATCAATAATATCACAATTAAATTTCAAATTCAAAGTAAAAACTTCCTGGAAGTTAATCCATTATTAAGCCAGATCTGTAATGCACATACGTATTGGCAGCGTCCAGGATTAAATTTAATTCTCCTCCGGACCAGGCTTTACCTTTGAGCCCAACGATTAATCCTGCACATGCGCAGAGCGAGCTAGTTGATCCCACCAATCATGTATCGATACGTCATGACGTCATCAATTCCATAGAAAAGATGTGGGTTGCCATTAATATTTATAATAAGCAATAACGAAACAAATTCTGACATTTTCATGTCAAAGATGTTTGTGAAAATTCATCAGAAAAGAAAAGAAATTTGTAACATGATCCTCGTTAAGAACACTGAAAAAAATACCCTGCCCGTGCCCCGCGATCACACACGAGAAAGAGCTCTCGGAGAAGACTCCCACGAATATAAATTGATAATACGAGTATCTCATTTTTATATGACGTTTTCATTTCGGTTGCCTAAAATATTTATAGGCTATTTGAAACTATTTATATATTTCTATTTGTACTGACACTGATATATATCGGCATGATATAATATTAACTTATATATATATACTTTTTTTCCTGTGTAACAAACGTTTTCTTATCGACATTAAAGTATAACATGAAACTTGTAGAGGGTGAATGCTATTTGCCATTACACAGATACCCGCTTTTTCTTATCAAACAGCAGATTTACTGATAATTGCACTGACTCGAGCGCCTGGCAGTGTGTGTTGCATCTTCTGTGCAAGTGCTGTGGATTTGGATTAACTTTATGATGCGTACAGAAGACGCCTATACATACATATATACACATATATGTATGTACGCCTATGCATGTATATGTATGTATATATATATACATATATATATAATATATATATATACATAATATATATATATATCTATATATATATTCACATATATATATAGGTATATATTTGTACATATATATGTATTATATATATATGTATATATATATATATATTCATATATATGTTAATATATATAAATGCATATGTACATGTACATATTTTTTACATTTACTTATATATACACATACATATGCATATATATATTGTATATAAGTACGCGTGTGTGTCCGTATTTGCGTGTGTGTGCATACACATACACACATATATGCATACATACGTATATGTATGTACAGTCGCTAAAAAGCATCTTTACTCCTTTCGACAACATTATACGACGACGAAAACGGTTGGAAAAAGTGCTGTGAGCTCGACCTGGTATTGGTATCTCTGACAAGGGCGTTATTTGGGGTAGTATGGGGCGGGGGCCAGATGCCCCTTCCCAAGGGGAGGGGCAACACCTATATAGATCCGGTCCTAGCTTAACATACCCCTCGAATAAAAAAAATCTAAATCTTTCTTCACTTCGCTCAGCTACATTTTAAAAAAATAGGGTTTTGAAATGTATATGTAATGAATGCATTTAGATACAATGCGTTATTACGAACTTTGTCCTTGCGATAATCTGACGAGCGTGAACATTCCGCCCAACGTTGCAAAAACATATGCACGCATTCAATTTTTTCATTTACTTATTCATCCATTTATTCATCTACTTACACATTCATTCATCTATCTATTTATCCTAGGCCTACGAAGGAGAGTGCAAAGGCAGAGTGACGGAGTCCTGTGATTACGGATGCCCTGACAACTACGACCCCGTATGCGGCTCCAACGGTGTCACGTACTCCAACCTGTGCGAGCTGGAGCGAGCGAACTGCAAGAGTGACGAGGAAATCACTGTGGTATGTGGGGGGGGGGGGGGTGTCTCTTGTGTATTTTTTACATTTACTTATATATACACATATGCATATAAATACTGTATATAAGTATGCGTGTGTGTGCGTATTTGCGTGTGTGTGCATACACATACACACATATATGCATACATACGTATATGTATGTACAGTCGCTAAAAAGCATCGTTACTCCTTTCGACAACATCATACGACGACGAAAACGGTTGGAAAAAGTGCTGTGAGCTCGACCTGGTATTGGTATCTCTGACAAGGGCGTTATTTGGGGTAGTGTGGGGCGGGGGGCAGATGCCCCTTCCCAAGGGGAGGTGCAACACCTATATAGATCCGGTCCTAGCTTAACATACCCCTCGAATAAAAAAAATCTTTCTTCACTTCGCTCAGCTACATTTTTTTTTTAATTAAGGTTTTGAAATGTATATGTAATGATGAATGCATTTAGATACAATACATTATTACTGACGTTAATCTGACGAGCGTGGACATTCCGCCCAACGTTGCAAAAACATATGCACGCATACAATATTTTCATTTACTTATTCATTCATTTATTTATCTACTTATTCATTCATCAATCTATTTATCCTAGGCCTACGAAGGAGAGTGTAAAGGCAGAGTGACGGAGCCCTGTGGTTACGGATGCCCTGACAACTATGACCCCGTATGCGGCTCCAACGGTGTCACGTACTCCAACCTGTGCGAGCTGGAGCGAGCGAACTGCAAGAGTGACGAGGAAATCACTGTGGTACGTGGGGGGGGGGTGTCTCTTGTGGTGGTGGTGGGGATGGCTATGGCAATAGTGGTCATGTATATTGTACTTACATACATGTACAAATAGGGGGTATTATGTACGCGCCATGGAAGTTAATCTAGTATTAAAGTTTAAAGGCGTCTTCTGTGCGTGTCATGAAAGTTAATCCATTTTTAAAGTTTAAGCCAGATCTCTACTGCGCATGCGTATTGACAGCGTCCAGGATTAAATTTAATTCTCCTCCTGACTAAGCTTTACCTTTGAGCCCAACGATTAATCCTGCACATGCGCAGAGCGAGCTAGTTAATCCCACCAATCATGTATCGATACGTCATGACGTCATCAATTCCATAGAAAAGATGGAGTGAGTTGCCATTAATATTTATAATAAACAATAACGAAACAAATTCTGACATTTTCATGTTAAACATGTATGTGAAAATTCATCAATATATATTTTCATAAGTTGTGGGTTATTCAAATTGCAGACCACAGAGAATTCCAGAGTTTACAGATGCAGAAAGGGCAATATTATTTCCAGGTTAGAAAAAAACATTCCCAACTTATGCAATATATTAATCGATTAAAAGAAAAAACTTTTTATGATATCACAAT